ACTTCTGACTTACGGAGTAACGTTCACGTATCCTCTCGCGTATTTCACTACCATGCGGATGTTTTGGCAGATTTCTATCCAGAGCATCGAAGAGAACCAAAGAGAATTCTTGAGCGTCCTGCTGCTCGTTTCCGAGGCGGAGAGCAGCGGTAAAATGCCTGTTGTCGTCGGTGTCTTCCTAAAGAAAGTGTTTAAAAGCCGAGTATACCGTAATGAGCCCAAAAACCATGTCAAGAGAAAAGAGGGGACAACAGGAAAGAAATCAGTTCCAAGATGTATTGTAAATAAGAAGGTGTTTATTGACACGTTTCAAGCTGCTCAATCAAAAGAATCAATCCCCTGATTTCTAGCATATAAGTCGCAGTCGCAAAATTGGTCCTACATCTAATAGAACAAAAGTTCTATCAAACGTAAAACCGATTCTTGCCAGCAGAGCCACCCTCACCTCCCGCACCCAAGCTAGCACGGCCTAAATGTGGTGACAAGCTGAAAGGTTGGGCGAGAGAATTGAAGAAATTAGACATTACATAGCTCACACCGGAAAAAAAAATTCTGACCGTTAGCGAGGGCCCGTATCCTCGAAATAAATTGACTTATACACAGTTTTTTGTGGTTGACCACAAGCGTTTACCTCCTTCAAAAAATGAGATTCCTCTAAGCTTATGATCGGTGGATTATAAATATGATTGGGAGACGAGCGTTCAAAAACAAGGATTGGACTCCATTTTGCCTCACCATAAATTATAATATAACTTCTCATAAATACTCATAAATTTTGACAATTATTTGAACCATTTTTCTCGCCCTTACAGTTTGAAAATTTTTGAAAACGAGATAAACATTCGCACTGATAGAAATGAGCAACTAATTGAATTCCATTGAAGACATTCTTAATCATGACCCAAGGAAATCAGTGGCTATAAGGGGATACACTTGATTGTTAGCCTGGATTGTTCGTATCAAGTTGAACCCGGGTTGTTTTGCTATTTATAGAATCATAATGAAAAGCAAAAAAATCATCACGAATCGATTTAATTATCAGAATTCAGACTTTGAAGAAATTAACTGAGAAGATCAGTGTGTATTTGTCAAAAAAACTCACGAAAGGTGTTGTCTGCATAGTATAAAATAGATGCTGAAGACTGTTCATAACTGCTTCC